GCTTGGAGTGGCTCGGTCGATAGATGCATGGAGTGGCTCAGTCGGTAGGTGTTTGGAGTGGATCGACGGGTAGGTGCTTGAAGTGGCTCGATGGGTAGAGGTTCTTGCTGTCACTTGGTCGGTAGGTGCCTGGAGTAGTTCGATCAGTAGGTGCTTCTTGTGGCTAGGTCGGTAGGTGCTTGGAGTGGTTCGGTGGGGAGGTGCTTGGAGTGGCTTGGTTTATAGGTGCTAGGAGTGGCTCGCGGTGTAGGTGCTTGGTGTGGCTCAGGGTGTAGGTGCGTGGAGTGACTCGGTCGGAAGCAGCTTGGAGTGGCTCGGTCGATTGGTGCTTGGAGTGCCTCGGTCGCAAGGTGCTTGAGTCACTCGGTCGGTAGGTGCTTGGTGTCGTTGGGTCAGTAGGTGCTTGGAGTGGCTTGGTCGGTAGGTGCCTGGGGTGGCTTGATCGGTAGGTGCTTGCAGTGGCTCAGTGGTAGGTGCTTCGATTGGCTCGGATAGTAGGTGCTTGGAGTGGCTTAGGGTGTAGGGGCTTGGTGTGGCTCATTGGGCAGGTGCTTGGATTGGCTCGGTCTGTAGGTGCTTGAGTAGATCGGTCGGTAGGTGCATGAAGTCGGTGGGTCAGTAGGTGCTTGGAGTGGCGGGGTGGGTAGTTGGTTGGAATCGCTCAATGGGTAGGTGCTTGCAGTGGCTCGGTGGGAAGGTGGGTAGTTGCTTGGAGTGGCCCGGTGGGTAGGTGCTCGGACTGGCTCAGTGGGTAGAAGCTTGGGGTGGCTCGATGGATAGGTGCTTGGAGTGGACCGGTTGGTAGGTGCTTGGAGTGGATTGGAGGGTACGTGCTTGGACGGGCTTCGAGGGTAGGTGCTTGGAGTGGCTCGCTCAGTAGGTGCTTGGAGTTGCTCAGTCGATAGGTGCTTGGAGTGGTTCAGTGGGTAGGTGTTTGAAGTGGCTCGGTGGGTAGGTGTGTGAGTGGCTCGGTCGATAGGTGCTTGGAGTGGCTCGACTGGTAGGTGCATGGAGTGGCTCATTTAGTAGGTGCTTGGAGTCGCTCGTTGGGAAGGTTTTTGGAGTGGCTCAGTAGGTAGGTGTTTGAGTCGCCCGGTCACTAGGTGCTTGAAGTCGCTGGGTCAGTAGGTGCTCGGAGTGGCGGGGGGGGTAGGTGCTTGGAGTGGCCCAATGGGTAGGTGGGAAGGTGCTTGGAATGGCTCAGTGGGTAGGTGCTTGGAGTAGCTCGATCGGTGTGTGCT